GGTAATACAATTCAGCTCCATATGGATGGATCCTTTTGAAAACTAGGTATGTCATGAATCTCCCTTATCCTCTGCTCTTTTTACAGCTGTGAAACTAGAGGTACTGGTTGATAAGTCTACAAATCCTGATTATTTTTACCTAGTAAGATTTTTATCTCCCTGAACCCCATCACATAATCTGAAACTGCCATCTATCAGCAAACTGTCCTTTCACAACTGCATTTTGGTCTCTATTGCAGTTTTACTAACTGCCTGAAATGAGGGCAGATGTATTACATGGCAAGGTTCCCTGAAAAACAGGGCTCTTGAAATTGACCTGTCAGCATATATTCACGAACATAAATCAGGTCACCCACATATAAAATGGTTGCCCTTTCCTGCTTAGCTTTAGGAGTTGGAATTTGGAAGTGCATCTTCAGAGCATACGCTCAAAAACTGCTTCTAAATTAGAAAGTCCTCTCACAAAGAGTCTTTTCGAATCATCTTTCCTAGGAATATCTTTTAGGTGCTTATTCAGGCCTGACTGCTCTAAGATCCTTTTCTCAGACAAAATATAAGCTGTCATTTAAGTCTCGATGATCTGGGAGAACAAGCAAACCCATGGGATCTGCTGGCTTGCTCCCTTGTATTTACTGTCCACCAGCTCACATCCAATTCAGAGTTGGTTGGTGCTTAGGTTTGTTCACAGCAAAAGACTAATTTCCTCTTACTCCACAGTTTTTACCAACAGAAACTTCAGAGCAAGAACATGAGAATGGCTGCACTTGCTCAAATGAAAGGTTTATTTAGCTCAATAGTTGGTCTCCAAAAGCAATCAGCACAGTTACCCAGGGAAGAGTTTAGGAACAGAGAAACTTATAGTTTCTTCAGTATATTCTCCCATCCTCCAGTGATTTAGAGGAAATCCTTAGCTGGACGAAGCTATTGCAATACAGTAGATCTAAACTATGTGGAGATAAAAGAGTCAAGGACTCCTTGGAGCAGAGACTGGACAAATACTCATTTCTACTTTATGGGCTTCCCTCAAGCATGTTGAAAAGAACAGAATGAGCACTCTGAATTAGTACAGTACCTTCAAACAAAAGGTGAAAGAACCCACAGAACCCACCCAGAAGCTGGCCACTTCTAAGATGACAAACTCTTGCTTTTTTAGTAACAAAATGATATTTTTAATAATTCAGCAAATTCCAAGAATAAGAAGTTCTGGCACCTATAGCACAAAACGAGGCAGTTAATTCAATTGCTGTAACATGTTGTTCTTTGGAGAAGGTACTAACATTGAACAATTGAGGCATGGAAGAACAGTGGGACATACTCAGTCTTTGAAATAACTTCTGGCAGTTTTCACATACATTTGCTTAAATGCATCATAAGCCAAATAACCTTTCTCTGAAGAATTTCAGGTTGATGTGTTCTGATTGGCACATATGATTTCCATTAGGTACATGACACATTCTAAGTGAAACCATGTGATAAGAATTAATGAACATAATTTTCCTTAACAACCTGCTATTTTCCTCTGAGGTGTGAATTCTTCATATCTTTTGTATTCTGATGATGGGCAGATGCTTGCTTTCAGGAACATAAGAGTAGGAAAGGAAAATGACCCAAGGTCTATGTTGCTTTCACTTGAATGGGTTCAATAGCCACTTGGATATTTTCCAGGGTATCTGAAAGTAAAATGAACAAGAACAGAGTCTGGGAGACAGTTATCTAGTCACCACCAAGACCTGTACTTTCCGCTTTCAGTTTTCAGGCAAGTTTGACTTGAGAAAGTATTCCTGTTGGCATGGGTGATGAATTAGGAAGCATGTAGATTTGGGTTCAGAAGATGAAAAAAAAAAAGATTCTCCTCTCTTAATGGAAGTGGATGGGTCTTACAGGGTCAAGCTACAGCACAACCTCTCCTCCTGAAAGCGCATTTCTTTTCCCTTCTTTCACCAATACCTCAGAGATGTTGACCACACTCTATAGACAGGATTTTTTAAGGATTTGTGGGGAGTCCTTTGCTATCATGTCTCACAAAAGCACAGTGTGAGCTACTGACAATTTTATGAAATTATTATATATGTCCTATCATTTTTATTTGTCTGTTTACAGGCAACCCCGACTACTCTCTGCTGAGTAAAGCCATTTTCTCTGTGCATCTTCCCTGAGACTGAACTCCAGCCATGAGGATGTCCTCATACCTTCTGATTGCTCTTCTCTTCTTGGTTTTCCAGCATTTTCCAGGTAAGCCAGGCTTGGGTACAAGAGAACCAGTCCTGACAGTTCAGGAGAACTGTCCAGAAGTTCCTGAACAATTTAGGGGACTGGGAGAACTTTAAAACTGGTTTAGGAAATTGTGAAATTGCACCTTTCAATAACCCCAAATTGTTTGCAGATGTGGGCTACATTTGTTGAATAATTCTGAATGGAAAACAACATTAGTAATATTTCAAATGGAGATGCTGACTATTCCTCTACTGTTTTCTATACACAAAACACAGGCTGAAATGTGACCCCTTTTGCTACTTAGAAGCCTACATAAAACTAAGACAGCACAATGTCTTGAAGATTTTCTAGAGATTCAGCATTCATTTCCCTGCATCTGCAGAGTACAGAAAGCTGCATTTCAAAACATGAGTAGCATTTTTAATGTTAAGTGAAATGAATTTATTTTGTTTGTTTTTCAACTCATGGCAAATACTTGGAAAATCCCTGTTCACCTCAGCCCAAATGAAACCAATTTCCATTTCCCAGTTTGATGAGTCATCCAGAAATTCAATTATGCATACGACACAGGTTTTAGATTACTTGCTGTCAACCTAAACAGTAACTCATTGATCTAATAATATTTTATGTCTATCCTTTTTTATCTAAGTACAAAATGTGTTTTTAATTATTTTGTTTTGTTTTATATGCAGGCAGCAGGAGTTTTCACGTAATAGACACTATCCAGTGTGCTTTGAGAGGAGGTAGCTGCAGACATTACTGCAATGTAAACGAGTATCTGACTGGAAGCTGCTTCTTTAAAAAATACAGGTGCTGTAAGAAATATAAAGAAACATTCTATGTTCCCAAAAGCTAGAGAAATGAAAAAGATGGAGTGTTCCTACTCTCTGCTCTTTAACTTAGGGTCATTTAAGATGTCTCAATAAAAAATACACATATTAAATATGTATTTTTTTCTTTGCATTTCCAGTGATGAGTGTATATTTTTCTTGTTATTCTTCCAGAGATATTTCTCATGCTGCTACATGCAGCAACATGGCTTGAGGAAAAAATCCTATTTTATCTACTACAGATACAGCTAATTAAGACATGCTGTCCTGACAATGTGCATATTTTCTGTTTCTCATACAAAGGGCGAGGTTTCATACTCTATTAAGATTGAGGAGGCTTCATATTTTATTGAGTTTTATTTTATTATAATTAATATTTTATGAACCTTCTGCTCTTATCAGTTGTCATGATGACTTAACAAAAATACATAAAAATCATTTATAAAATATTCCCAACTTCTCTGAAGTCATATATGTGGATGATTTAATTAGTTTGATTTATGTAAAACAGGAAGAACTAGGAGGAAAAAAGTTTCTACTCTGCTTTACCAAGTTCCAGTGCTATCTTAGCTCAGTCTCCCAGAAAAGGAAAATAATAAACCAAGATATACCAAGCTGGGTATTTAAGTCCATATGTATCTGGAGATCTGAAAAGAAGTACCTGAGCATAAAAATTAGGGTAGACTTGTTCTCCACCATTTTTGTTGTTGTTGTTATAACAAGACAAATTGTAAATATAACTTTCATTCACTAAAATAACAGCAATAAAACAATTTCTATGTAAGAAACATTTTTCAGGACTATTTCATACAATACTGTTGAAAAATAGGAAGTTGTTAATTTTTCTGTCTGATAGCTCTGTAGCCAGGATGTGGGAGGTCAAGTTTTAGTTCTCTGGGATGTTTAAATCTATCATTGCTCCTTTTCAGACTGTCAGATACTGCATAAAATATATTTATTTTACCTTCTTGACTCTGTTGTTTTTGATATTAAAAAATCATGCATCCAGTGGAATAGGGACAGGACAAGTTAATTCAAAAGAGGTGGCAATCTTGGCAATGGCCATTACATGATACAATAGCCTGTAACTTATGGCGATGCAGAGGAAGATTTCATCTTCCTTGTTTAAAAGCTTTCCATCCAACTCCTCTTCTACTAGGAGAATGACCCAGCCAGGCCAGCAGCCCCGCTGAGATGGGTCCATTTTCGACTCCTTATCTTGTGGGTGTGCTAAAGCCTCTTGCTTTCCATGGCCAGAAAAGAACAAGAATGAGAGGGAGTTTGTCACCATAGTAAAGTGAACACAGAATGTCTTGGAGGAAGGAGCCCTGGAAAAGACTTTATATTTTGAAAAATTCCTTCATGGAGCAGCACAAGTTACCTTGTGAAGTGGACCGCAGCCGCCTTTTCTGCTGAGAAGTGATGATACTTTTATTACTGCCTCCCAATTATTTCTTGTGGGTTACTGGCTGCAGATAGACCTCTGAGACAGTCACACATTGAACTCCACACAGCAAGGTTTACACAGACACTGCAAACATTTCAACAGCACCTTAGACCCTCTGATAAATCATCACCAAGAAGTTTCAGGTATTCCTGTGTTATTTTCACGTCTCTATCACCCAAACCATGGTTGATTTTCTCCAAGTGCATTACCAACCATCTTGAGTAACCTGACTTTGAAGTCTACAAGTAATGCAGGTCTCTATAGCGGTCAGTATGAAGAATAGCCTTCCCAGTGCTCATTTTTGTGACCTTCTGTCATTGTTTGGACTTAACCATGTGCAGCGGTCAAGATGTACTCCTTGCTTCATGGCCTGCTTTCCTCACTCACCAGTGCCAGGGTCCCTCAGATAGCCAGGTCAGTTCCCACAGCCCTATAAATGCAAGAGTGCTTCCTCCTTCCTTGATTAAAGTTTCTGGCCTGCCTCCATATTACATCTGAGACCTTCTACCATGAAGCTCTCTTCCCACCACATGGCTGTTCTCCTCTTCCTCCTCCAGGCTGTTCCAGGTAAGGGGCAAGATCCATACTAGTGTCTGTCCATGCGAGGCAATGAATCTTATTGCACAGGAGGCACCACTAGTTTTTGTAACGGTGCAGACTATACTCCACCATCCTGTTCAGCTCTTTACATTAAAGCCAATCCTTATTTCTCAGTGCAAAACCGGACATGAATAGTCAACCTTCAGTGACAAAAAGTCAAACCAGAACTGTCCCACAGAAGCCAGTACCTGGTGCTGGCTCTTAAGACTCTTTGCAGTCTCTTTATGCAACTTTATGGCACTGCTGAAAGAAGGCACCACAGAAATGACCTTCCTGTGCTTATCCCAAAATCACAAGTTCTCTCCTTTGTGTGTGGTAGGACACAGGTAGAAGTGTTCCTCTGCATTTCTCAAGTAAACTACACCAGGGAAGCTAACTATAGTTTGCCGAATACTCTGGTTCCCCTTCTCCCACCCTCCTGCTGACTCTGCATCTTAGAAAAAGGCTTTTGGGGAAGGAAGGAGCTGGAAAAATCTCCTGTCCCTGCTAACTGGGCCAGATGTCAGCATTAAATTTTAAGTCATAGGTAAATCTCTGGGTTTTGGAGCACCTCTTGCTGTCCACTAGCAAGATCGGCCTGCAGCATTGCAGTCCCAGAGCTTGGAGGAACCCAAGACTGTTCTATTCCTACCTATCACAACATAGATATAATCTGAAACTCTCCACCAACCGTTACCTTTTCTCTTCTCTATTTGCACAAAAATGTTTCTTGGAGTCCTGTGAGGTCTCATGAGGCTTCTAAAAATCACTGGAAAGGCTGCCTTTGGATTTGGGAGTAAGAGACACATAATTGGGGCCCATGGGGTTTCAGCAAGAGAAAAAATAGAGAAATGAATTGATTCTGCAGCACAATTGAAAATTTAATTCCTTCTATAGATCTTGGCCTGCTCAAAGGCACTTCACATTGTGTTGCCTACAATGGTTTCTGTTTTCATTCATAAGTCTGCTCAGCATCTTTTGTTGCATTTTGGGCTTGCTCATGGTATCATAAAACCTACTGCATAGGTAGAAACCCAGTCTGAGCAGGCAACATTCGTAAAGGAGATTAGAAAAGTGAGGAAAAATATTCTCTATTTCTCTAGAAATATTATATTCTAAGCAGTGTTCTTCTAGCTACATGCATGGATCAGCCTGTTTCTGCACTGTTCTGCAATAAACATCACAACCACATCATTATGAAACCTGGTATATTCTCCTGGCTTCAAAGAATTAGCAGCTCAAGACTTCTAACCACAGGTATCTTTGTGTTTAAATGTTCTCACTTGCTTTTTCCTTTTAAATCAGATTTTTTTTGTCTTAAAACCTCTTGCATAATAATTTCAGTCAGTGCTATCTACTTCCATATTGCAAATGAGCAATCATTCCTATCTTCTTCATAGCTTTTTAATATCCCTCCTTCAGTTGTTTCTTTTTCAGGCTGTTAAGTCACAAATTCCTTTCCTTAAAGAAGATTCGGTTGTCCATATGATCCTTCCTTGTGTCTCTCCTTTTGGAGACAAAACTTCATGGAACTTCCTATATATGAGTGTATCACTATTTCATATGTTGATGTAATGACGTTTTCTGTTTTGACTTAAACCCCTTTCATTATAGACACTACATCAAAATACCATATTTGTAAAGATAAGGATGGTCGGCACTGTGTACCTTTAGAAATCAAATGTCTCCAATAATAGCTGGGACTTTGTCCTTACAAAGAATGGAAGTGCTGCAAAGAAGTGCAGCAAAGACCTCACTGAGTTGCAAAAACCCATGGAAATTCATGGAATGGAAGACAAGGAAATTTTCTTCCTGGCGGTGTA